GTTCTGGCACCACTTCCAATAATTGGTCGGGAGTTGCTTTCTTTATCAGTAAAAGATTATGCAAATACGTGGATAAATTTGTGCCCATTTCGGAGAGATGCTGTTTACTATACCTGAACACCTGCTTCAGGCAAACAATCTTAGTTAATGTCTATGCCCCGCCTAGAAGAAACGAACGGCTCGCATTCCTCGATGACCTCGAAAACATTGTAAACTCTCTTCCTAGGAGTCGAAATTTGATAATTCTTGGGGATTTAAATACTAGGATCGGAAAAGATGACTCCTTTATTAGAGATGGGGTAATTGGGAATGCAACTCTCTCTCAATTAAACAGTGATGACAGTAGAAAGTTATTGGAGATGTGCAGGAGTATAAACCTCAAGGTCGAAAATACTTTCTTTTCGCACAGTGAATTAAACACCCTAACCTTCAGTAGAAATAATATTAAGTCTCAGATCGATTTTATCATCTCGAACATCCATAGTTGGTTTATCGATGTAAAAGTAATGCCAAATATTAATATTTCTGATCATAAATTAATCAGAGCCACTATCACTGTGAAAAATTTATGGGGAAACTCTCGGCGTCCTTCTCTTCAACCCCAGCCGAGATACCTGTCCTGGAAGAGAAATGCAACTCACCTGCAACGCCCTGCAGTCAAGCTACAGCTTGATCTATTCTTAAATGATAGAGAGGCAACTTTCTTATCCTCGTCGGAGTCTCAATCTGTCGAAGAATGTTGGGCGTCTTTCAAAAACAACTTGTTTGATGCCTACAATCATCTCCCTAACATCAACATTTCTCCACCGAGACAGGAATGGCTATCCGATGACACCACTCGCATGATAGCTCAACTCAAGTTACGAGGTGAGCGCGATGGTCACTTATGGACCTCAATTCATAGACTCCTAAGGAGAGATAGAAGGATCTTTATTGCTAAAAAGGCTTTTGAGATAGACAGGGATATGAGGGAAAATAGAACTTTCGACGCCTACAAGAAACTAAATTATTTTTGTAAAGCCAAAGTGTTCAAGACACTTCCAACTATAAGACTGGATAATAATAGGTTAATTACTGACCCTGACGAACAGATAGCGTTATGGCTTGACCACTATATGGGAGTCTTTGATTCTAGGAGGCCTACCTTAATCCCATCCACTAGTCAAAATGGGGGACAATTGGATGCAAACTTTTCATCGGCGGAAATTGTGGCTGCCATTAAGAAGCTTAGGAATAATAAATCTCCGGGTACAGATAACATTACGGGAGAACATCTGAAAGCAGCTCCCTTAACGATCTCTCGGTTCTTACTTCCTTTGTTTAACAAGATATGGTTGACTGGGATGATGCCAGCGGATTGGAATAAGACTATCTTTTGCAACTTCCCGAAAATTCCAAATCCATCTAAATTCAAGGATTATAGAGCCATCGCTCTCACGTCTATTGCATCAAAAGTTTTTATGGTTCTTTTAAAAAATCGCATTCTTTCCTCTACACCAAACCTTTTGTCTAAGTATATTTGTGCTTACCGTCCAGGTAGAAATATAAACGAACCAATATTAGCTTTAAAGATTATAATGCAGAAATGTCAGAAGTATAAATTACCTTTTTACTTTATTTTTATCGACTTTAAACGTGCTTTTGATAATGTTAACCATGATGAGCTTTGGAAGATTTTAACCGAATATGGCATTGACTCTAATATTATAAGGATCCTTAAAACACATTATAGTAGTCTTTTTGCCTCCTTAAAAATTTATAATAAGGTTTCTCCATCTTTTAGGACAAAAAAAGGGGTAAAACAAGGATGTGTTCTTTCCCCGCTTTTGTTTAATATACTTATGAATAAAATCATAGTAGATACGCTGGCTACTGCGAATCTCTTAGAATTAAGTTCCAGTCAGTCTTTTTTCTTGGAAAATAGGGTGATATCTTATGCTGACGACATAGTTTTGATAACAAAAAGTTTGGAAGAAACCCAAAATTTGATCGCTATATTAAACTCCTTTAGTCTTAAGGTTGGCTTGGACATTAACTTTGATAAAACAGTGATAATGCCCTCGTCCCAGGCGCCTCTTCTGAATAATTTGGTGGTGGGGGGAAAGTTGGTTAAGGTGGTAGATTCTTTTAAATATCTAGGTGTAACCATTGACAATAAAGGTAGTTGTAAAGAAGAACTAAAAATTCGTTTACAAAATGCTAGGGCGGCTTTTTATAAATTTTTTAAACTGTGGAAAGCTAGAGAGATATCCGTTTTCACAAGACTCTGTATTTTTAACTCAACCATCATCCCGATTCTCTTTTATGGCGGTGATACATGGGAGATTACCAAGACCGAAACTAGGAAATTACAAACGTTTGTAAATAAATGCCTTAGAATAATAAATGGAATCTTCTATCCAAATATTATCTCAAATGAAAATCTTTGGAAGAAGTCTAACCATACCCAGGTTCACGTATCTTTAAAAAAGAAACGTCTTACTTTCTTTGCCCATATTTTAAGAAATCATAGTAACAATAGCCTTGTTATTGATGCCATTAATTGGTTATACTCCTTTAATGGGAAAACATATTGCAAATATAAGACATTATGGTTCTACAGAGCCTTGAAGGACATAATGGATCTAAACTTAAATTTGAAGCAATTCCTAAGGCTAAATAAAAACAAAAAATCTATAAAAAAACTACTAAAAATTAAATCGAATTACCTAAACCTCCCATAATTTATTTTCTGTATTTTTCAGGTTATTTAATTTCTTCATCTCTAAATTTTACCTCTTGATTTTTTGTCTTTCACCTATTCTGTGAATTACTTACTTCACTGACTTCAGCTTTTATTTATCTTATTTTCTGAAAAAACTGCATGGTTAACATTATCAATAGCTCTGTTATAATTCACAAATGTAAAGCAGAAGGGGTTTTGTACTTAGTTTTTCTGCATGATTATTTTTCTAAATTAATTTTGGATCCAGTATTTTCTTTTCTTGGTCTGTATATACTTATGTATTTTTGGTGTGGGTGTTATGCTTTTTCCATGCTATAGGATGTGATGGCTATAGCTCAATAAGTCTTAATTTTCTTGTGGTCTTAGTTTTTGGGTAGTTACTTAGGTAGGATTTTTGATTTCATCCCACTGCAGTAGTTCTGCTCTCCCATATTTCTATTAAATGAGGGCAAATAGGTAGCGATATTGTTATAGATGCTATTTATTTTTTGGTTTTTCTGCTGTGATATTATCTGGCCCTGGAGCTTTTGCTTTCTCTTAGTGTTTTTTTTTCATTAGTCTTTGTTCGCTTGTTACTTCATTTATGGAGAAATCAGTCGACAGGGGGGTGGCGAGGTTTGTAAATATGTTTTGCTGGTAGAGTTTTCCGTGAATGATAGACTATCATATAACAATCAAGCCAAAATGCCTTTGTTAATCCTGGCCAACAATTACTTTTCAATTTCCTAAAACTTACGGAGCTGGCTCCTATTTCTGCGTCATAGTTTCCTTTCTCTCATATCTTTATCATTATCAAAGACCTTTTTCGCTATATAATCTATCTATCACTCCATAGAGTATTTTGTTTCTCTGGAAAAAGGAAAAATAACCGTTTGTTGTGTGGTGTTCGTTTGCTGGATAGTCATAAACCGATTACTGACTAGTTTTTGCCTATTCACTGGATTTTTCACCTTTTAAACAATTTGTGGTAAACCCATTTTAGCTTTTCCTTATTTTCATGAATAAATTCTAATCTCAATTGATATGAACACATTCTCAATTATTTGTTAGTAACTACCAAGGCTTACATTAGATGTTTAAACTTAAAATTGGCCACCACCCACCCTTAAAGTAATTAAATTATTTAGGCAGTTCATGGGTATAGGCTTTTGTTTTTGCCCATCTCTTTTGTTGATTAGCCTATAGACGTTTAAGCGACAGTTCCCGGACTGTTGCGCGTACAAGTACGTGCGGCTTGCCCACAAACGTGTGAAGGGCTCCTCATTTTTTTTTTTCCTCCCCTAAATTAACTATCCAGTTTGATGGATTTTTGAGGAAAACCTAGCGTAGCTCTGTTGTATCCACAACCAGAGGGCGAAAACGCTTTTATCACGTATCACGTATTTACAGATGATACATTTAGGAGCAATATTTTCATCATGTGATTCACTTAGTAGCATTATTAAAGAATATGAGCAGTCATGCCTAGTTAATTTATATGTTGCAAGGTCTACATTAAACTCCCATCCTGAAGAGCTCATAAATCTTTTTAAATATCAAAAGGTTTATTATTCTTATAAATGTATAGAACCTCCATACAAGCAATTCAAATTCACAAAAGATTGTTCATTTATATATAGTTACAATAACCATTGATTGTAAAATATTTATAAAATATTAAAATTTTATTTATAGATATGCTTATAAATAGAACCTCCATAGAAGCAATTCAAATTCACAAAAGATTGTTCATTTATATATAGTTACAATAACCATTTATTGTAAAATATTTATATGTGCCAATAAAATATAAACAATTTGTAATAAATTTTGAATTTTATCATGTTAATTTAAAAGAATGTAACCAATCTGGCCTAATTTTTTTTAGCTCAATCATAGCCCATTTTTTTCATACTCTAATTGTTTTGTCCCAAACTTAAAATTTAAATATAAAAAGAACCAAAACATTTTTTTGCTTATTTTCTTAATTTGTTTTAATATAAAAAGTTTTAAGCCATACAACCAATAATGATATTTACAATTTTTATCAGAGACCAATACCCAAAAATAAAATTTTTCTAAGTATTTTACACATTTATAAACTGACAAGATGGTTCTGCTAATTTTTCTATTATTTTAATTTACATAACTTAATTTTAAATGATAAGCAAATAAAAGATAAAATCTAAAAGGTATATATCTTTTTTGTTAAATATATTTCTTGCTATTTATTTGTATTGGAGAATATGTATTAGTATATTGGCTAAAAAAAATAACTTCAAATAGTGTATAATAATGTACTTTTATTTGTGTATATAGACTAAATATTTATAAAGATGTATTTATAGTAAAAAAAAATATAAAAATTACTTTTGTGTATAAATATAAATAGATAACTAAAACTTTTATAGTAAAAAAATAAGACTAAAAAAAATATTCTCATAAAATGGTTATATATATAAATATATCATTTACAGGACAAAACTAAATTATAATGATAATTTTTATTCTTTATATAAATGCAACAGAAAAATTTTTTTATTTCAGGAATAATAAATAAAGGGTCAAAGGCAAGCCATTTGTCATTATAAAAAACAAACACTCTTGTTTGAAGCAATGTTGAGACACATGCAATTTCCACATCTGTTGCCCATGTGCCACTGCAGCCCATTTTATTCTTCACAATGTAATCAGTAGTTTTTATCCCTATAAATCCAGAAAAGTAGTTGGAATGTTGCATCATAAAAGAAATAATAGCCATCCTGATCATCTCATGATATTCCTCATTATTGCTAATCTCCTTGCTAATACATCTATAATAAGAATTAGTAAGATAATTTAAGTGATAATATAAAATACCTGAATAAACAATTTCCATCACCTAGGACTTGGTCGACCTTATCGGGATCCCCTAAGTTTGTGGATGTTAAATTTTGAGAATTTTGAGGTGCATTTAAGGTTAGGCCTAAAATTTCAGAATGATATTTTTTCCATTCCGATGTTGTTGGCTGAAAAATGAATATTGGATCTTGTGTAGATTGAATTTTTTCTAAAAAAGTTAAAATCATTATTGTCACATTATAAATTTAAAAGTACTGAATGAAGTTTTGAGAGGTCTATATTTATGTGCAATTTGATCCACTAAAATTTAATTTTATAATAGAATATAAAATCTCATAATCATACATATCACATTTGGTCTAGGTAGGTAATTTTCTAAAAATGGAATACAACCCTTTTGATTGGTATTAGAATGTGCTTTATTTACTAAATAAATAAAATAATTTTGTATATTACAACAAACTAAGAGTAAATTTTAAGGTTTGGGGTATATTGTTAGTATCTTTTGTCATTGCATTTTTAACAAAAGTCTTATTTGGTTGTGAGTATAGGCCCATTTTGATAGGTAATATTATTTTGCTGTCTAGAATTATTAATTTATTATATATAAAATTTAATTTTGTAACTTGATGATAAAATAGAGCTCAATTTTGGGTTTTCGACAAGTGTTAAATTTGGTTGTGAGTGGATGCCCATTTTAATTGGTAATATCTTATCTATAATTTGAATTTATTATATAAAATTTAATTATGTTACTTGATGATGATAATTTCCCCTTTTTATTTGAAATTCCTATTACTGATAAATCAGATTTTCTGGATCTACCTTTTTTTTTCATTTTGAGTGGTAGTTTGATACTTTTTAATTTTTGGAGAGTTTCATCAATATCTACAATTTTCTCAGTCTTAGGAATAATTGATATTGATTTTATGATAGGGATTATTACATTTGTATCTATATCCCATATTTAAAAATTTATTTATATAAAATATAATCTAACCTTGTATAATGTTTATCTTTGGAATAACTATGGGATTGGGAAATATACTTTGATTCACTTCAATGATATCAAAATATTTTCTAGCTTGAACTATACTATCAAGTTTTTTTAGTTTTTCGATAAATACATCAAAAATTTCTTGAGGAAGCTGAGATGTTAAACTTGAAAAGGGCATCAATATTCTTTGAACTTGTTTAAATTTTTCATTGGTTGACAAATTTTTTGTGCATGGAAAATCATGATGTTGGGAAATGTTTAAATATGACTGAGACAGAGAAGAATCTTCAGGTGACAATATTGAGCTATCCTGTGTATATTTTTTAGTCCACCTCTCTCCACAGAGATGATTAAGATAAATATCCAATTTTAAGGCAGCATGAAGTGCTAATATGTGGCGACAAGGCAGCTTTATGCAAGTCAAAAAGCCACATGCACATGATTTTAGTGTAATTTTAAATTCTACACCCTTTTCACAGACCAACGCATGGTTTAAAATAGTATCAATATTTAATAGATGTATTTGATTATGAAATGAGATTTCATTTAAAATAATTTTAAAGGCATATGGTGTTAAAAGAATTGAATACAAATTTTCTGGAGTATAACATGCGTAGGTGACACATGGTAGCCTCTCAATACACATTATATTTCTGTGATGCCTTTCAAAGGCTTGAGAACTAACTACTGTTGATAAATCTGAAAAAAGATCATTTAAAGGAGAATATTTATTTACAACTCTTTTAATTTTTTGATTAAGAGATTCTAAACGATTGTTAGTAAAATTGAGCAGATGTGGTGACTCATTTCTCCAATATATCACCCATTCTTTTCTAATAAAGTGCCAATGTGTATTAAAATACAAAGAAACTAAGGGCAATTTTAAATCTATAAGTTTCTCGTAAAGATAATTGTATACATCTTCAGTCTTACTGTATACCATTTTTCCTAGTATTTCCAGCACTGTTTTAACTTCAGATGTAGTAATTTTTCTCTTTTCAGCTGTAATCTCTCTTTTAAATATCCTCAAAGCATGAAAAATACATATGTGAATATTTACTGCTGGGAAACTTTCATAGAAGGCACTTCTATCTGCCATATCTTTATCAGCCACAATAACTTCAAGCTTTGTTAAATTATTATTATGATATTTCATAATATCACACATTTTTTTTACACATTTATAGCTTTCACTTTGTACAAGCCAAAGTGACACTATTTGTGATTCACCATTTCCATCAATTATTAAGGTAATGAAGAGAGGCATCCCATAATTATTTAGCTTGTAGGTTGCATCCACAAACATAACCTCTGGATATCTTTTGAGATTATGTTGCATCATCTCATCTTGAAAAAAAATTCCTAATAGAATATCATTTTCTTCAGTGACCTCAACAATAGATCCTTTATTTCCTTTAAGCAGCTGGAAAATGCTGGCTAAATCATTACACTTTGATTTATTAATATTAGTTTGTAAATTGTGAATATCTTTAAGGGTGATATTTTTTCCTAATTTAAGCATGGATTCTTGTATTTTTAGCTTGTTAGCTTTTAAGTTTAAGTACTTTTCAACTGATTCTCTCTCTTCAAGAGAAAGTACTCTTTGTTTAGGAAGAGATTCAAATGTATTTTTATCTAATTATGATTATTATAAATTTATTATGTAAAATTTTACCTAAATCATGGTTTGTATGTTTATTGACCATAGTCACAATTTGTAGGAAGTGGGTAGTATCTTTGTATTTTAGACACACTGTAAATTTAAAAGAGCACATTTTACGAAATGTTGAAGTATTCCTTATATTTTTTGAGCGATTTTTTTGTATGGATCCCCCATATTTACAAGAATAATAAACCTTTTGATATTTAAAAAGATTTATGAGCTCTTCAGGATGGGGAGCTTTTAACAATGTAGACCTTGCAATATATAAATTAACTAGGCATGACTGCTCATATTCTTTAATAATGCTACTAAGTGAATCATATGATGAAAATATTGCTCCTAAATGTATCATCTGTAAATAAAATTTTAATATTTAATTAATCAATTTACAAAAATTATTAGTAACTTTGTCTAATTCCGAATTTGAATTGCTTGTATGGACTATGGAGGTTCTATACATCTATAGGCATATCTATAAATAAAATTTTAATATTTAATTAATCAATTTACAAAAATTATTACTAACTTTGTCTAATTCAAAAAATAGAAACATTAAAATATTTTTAAATTAAGCGGGTTATCATATGAAAATGAATTGTCACGTGATAAAATGTTATTAATTATCATGGTGTTAGCTTTAGTATATTTTACTAAATATCACGGGTGCTAGCTCTAGTCACGGCCTAAAAGTGTCCACACATTGTAATCAGCTGTAGCGCCATTTTGTAGTTTGGTTATCCATTATTTGTCAGCAAGAAATATTAATATATAGAAAACAAGTCTACTACGATAATTTAGTTTTAAAGGTTTCGATTTATGATATAATATTTTATAGTATCTTTTATTCTTAAATTTTCATAAGACTTTTTTTATGAATGTGGACTAGGTGATTATATTTAAAAAATGAATCTAAGACTAACCCACCTTTTAATTTTTTAAAATATAGTTTAACTTAATTCTGCACGGATTTATAAATCTTATGTTAATGCATCTTAGGATACATGCAAAACAGATCTTTTAATATCACTATCATTTATTATTTTATTTAGATAATGGGAGTGTGCTGTGTTCATAATTGTAATAAAACAAATAAAATGGAATCTAATACACATATTTCTTATCATAAGTATATATATTATTTTTTATATGCATTTATTACATAAAGCATTAATAAGCTACAAACATTGAAAAAAAATCCTTATTTAGTAAAAATATAAAGTTTTCTCATTTTTACTGCTAGGACAAATAATGCTTCTTCCTCTTGAGTTGATAAGATTTCTATTTTGAACTTTGCCTAAATATTTTTCTGGATAAAATATTAAGTTAGCCATTTTTAAAATACATATTTACTATGATACAGTTTCATTTTTAAATATTTGTAAGAAATATGTAAACCATATATATATTAATAGAGGCTCTGCCAATCAACAAATTTTCACTGATTCAATACTATATTACTAATAACTGATCTGATATTAATATTGATTGTTATATACTATCTATCTTTGTATCAATGTCATAAATATATCTTATATTTTACTCATTATTATTCACCTATTTTTAAATATAGATTTCCATTAAAATCCAAAGAATTATTGGAAAAATGGTTACATGCTATAAATAGAAAAAATTTTATGCCTAATAAATATAGTATTATTTGTGGCAGGCATTTTAAAAATACTTGTTTCATTCAAACTATATCTGGAAAGATTTTATTGAAGGAAGATTCTATTCCATCGATATTTAGTATATCTAAGCCACTTCATGATGTATGTTAACAATATCATTACATAGTTAAAACAATATTTTAAAATATATACTTTTTAGATAACGAATGTTTATTCAAATATACAAACACCATTAAAAAGTGATATATTATATGAAAAAGATCCAATTATACATATAACAAATGATCATAATTATTCCGCGACATATGAAACATTAAAAAGAAAAATTATTTACCAAGAGGCTATAATTAAACGCTTAAAAAAAAGAGCACATGCTTATTATAGGAGCTCAAAAAGAGGAAAAAATAAAATAATCAATTTACAAACAATAATCACTTCACTAAAAGATGAAAATTTGTTATCAGATGATGTCGAAAATATTATAGACAGGCACTTTACAGGGACATCTGCTATATTCCTTAAAACACATATACACAGTGGAGGCATCTCAAACCCACAAAAAAAATATATACAAGTGAATTCCGTCAATTTGCATTGACTATGCATTTTTATTCACCTAAGGCTTACAGATATCTCAAATCACACTTTTGTATGCCTTCGGAATCCACATTAAGGGCATGGAGTAGCAAGATTGAAATCATGCCAGGTTTATTATAATAATTTTAAAAAAAATAAATTAAATTAAATAAAGGTTTCCTTTCTATTTCATTTACCCAAATTAAAAGCTACCAAAAAAAATCAGAAAAGCAGTTATATTGTGTACTTAGCCTTGATGAAATGCATATTAAAACACAAATAGATTATGACCCCCACAAAGCAGAATATCATGGTTATGTTGATTTAGGTGATGGGACAAAATCAACAAAGGAAGATAAATCTTGTCCAGAAGCAACAAAGGCACTGTTTCTTATGGCTACATGTCTTAATAGCAGCTGGAAAATGCCAATAGCCTATTTTCTAGTTTCACAAATGAATTCAGATATCCTAGCTAATTTAGTGAGAGTTGCATTGTTCAATATAAATGAAACAGGAGTTATCTGTAAGGCCATAGTATGTGATGGTTGTGCTGTTAATAAAAAAATGAGCAAACTGCTTGGTGTTAGTATGGATCCTGATAATATCATTCCATATATTGAGCTGGAATTTTATGAATCAGAAAAAATATACATGTTACTAGATGTTTGTCATATGCTCAAATTACTTAGAAATCTATTAGCGGAGGAGGAAATTTTAATAAATGAATCAAATGGAGAGGTAGCTAGCTAAATTTGGTTAAATATTTATTTTGTATTTATAGTTAATAGATTGGAAGCATATACAAAATTTACACAAATTGCAGGAGTGCGAAGGTTTACGTGCTGCAAATAAATTGCGCAAAGCACATATTGCTTTCCAAAAACAAAAAATGAAAGTTTGATAATAAATATATAATTATTAAATATTTTTTAAGGTAAAACTTGCTGTTCAAGTTTTTAGTGCATCTGTTGCAAATAGCCTTCTTTTTGCCCAGCATCAGGAGATTCCTGGATTTGAAAATTGTGATGGTACAATTAATTTTATATTGATGATAGATCAGTAAAATAAAAATTATGATATAAATTTATGAATAACTTATAGAATGTTTGATTATCTTAATACAAGAAATTGTCTTGGTAAAGGATATAAAGCCCCTTTATATAATAATACAATTGCAGATTATGAAAATCATTTTGACAAGTGCATTAAAACTTTAAAATCACTCAAGTTAACAAATGGAACTTATGTCTATAAGTCTAATAAAAAAACATGTGTAGAAGGGTTAATTCTTTCTATGAAAAGCATCCTGGAAATGGGGAAGGAATTATTAACTGGGGAAACCCCAAAAATGAAGTATTATATTTAATTTATAACAAGAGTTATTCATAAAGCTATAATATAACAATTTTTTAAGGTTCTTTTTAACATATAAAACCTCTCAAGACCACCTAGAATTATATTTTTGTAGTATTCGTAGCAGAGGTGTTTAATGATAATCCATCAGCATATCAGGTTCGATCTGCTGTTCGCATTTCTTTAATGGCAAAATTGGATGCTACAATTACAGGAAATTGCATTTCCTTAGATAATACTCAATTAATATGTTCAAATTTTCAAAATAATCATGACGATGATTTTAATTCTATCAAAACTATTTCAAATCCAATAATACCCCAGGCATTATCTTATTATTTTAGCCAAACAAATCCTCATATCCCAAAATTATCATTATATTTAGATAATGTAACAACTTATATTTCGGGATATATAGTACAACAACTTATTAAAGAAAAAAAGGTACGATGTGATGTTTGCATTAATGCAATGGTCAGTGATTCATATATTGATAATAATATAAATAATATGCTCATAAATTTTAAAAATAATGGGGGGTTAGTGATTCCTTCATCTAGTATGTCTATATTATGCCGAATTTGTGAAAGTTCATTTAGAACTTATCAAAATGATATTAAACGTAAAAATATTATTAAAAAAATGGAAGTGTTGGTTTTTTCCACAATAATTGGTACAAATATTTTTATTGATCTTACTGAACATATTAATGAACATGAGATTGGTTACAGCCATTTTCAAATTCTTGTAAAATTAATTGTTCAAAGGTAATCATTTATTAGTTTTATACTATTTTTTTAAAGATATTTAAATATTAGATTTTTTCATTTTGCTGACTTGAGAAACCAGGAATTGAGAACTGGTATGAGGCAAAATCTTATAAAAGCAATACAATTTAATAATCAATAAGTCATGTAAATTAATATTTATATCTTCTTTTATTTTTTAAAAATTATATTGTATAAAGAACAGGCCTTATATAAGACATATTATAAAAATTATGATATTATATATAATCTATGCTAATGTAAATATATTTTATTTTTTATAGGTGATGATAGAATCAAAAAGGATGAATGTTTATAATCAAAGATAATATGAATGTGAATCATCACATTGTTAAAAATACATTTTGTTTTTTAAAGTGTACTCTATATTTTTATATATTTATTGTATAAACCTTATTTAAATGATTTATATAATAATTTAAACTCATGCAAAAAATGTTATTATTACACTATGTTTTTATTGAAAAAAAAATAAAAGATGTTTTCATTTGTCATTTATAATTAAGATGAAATAATTAAAACAAAAAAAATTATAAATGATTATTACAATAAAAATTAAGTAAGATGAGCTCTCAACCCATCTTTTAAGATAGTTTAACTTATTTCATCTAGAACACATAATCCAAAATAATTTTTAATTGACATGATATTTTTTTATAAAATCTTATTTTCTTAACATAATTAATTAATCCTCATCTACTTTTAGAGTATTGTAGATTTTATTTAATTATATCTATACAGATCTCTTTTTTTGTATAAATTTTGATTATTATTTTAAGGTATAAATTACTTACCTAAAATTAAAAGTACCAGCAACTACAATAAATATAAGTACATCATTTTTATTTATTAATAAGATATGAATCATAAAATATTATTATATTTAATAATAAGGATTCCATAAATGAACAATAAGTGGATAATAAGATTTTTAATGAAACATCAAGTGAATTTGATAAAATTATAAAAACTAATTTTATTAAAAAAATTAACAAATATATATAAAAATATAAATGATTTTGATATTTGCAATTAATATGTATAAAATAAATTAGATATTCTAATAAATGATTGGGGGTTAAATAATTGAGGAATGTTTAAAAATAAATTTATTTTTATAATAATATTAATCAAATAGATAAATTAACTTAAAACTATGATTGAAAGATGTATTTTCTTGACTGAGTCAAAGGAATCTGTGTGATAAGTTTTTTTGGCAATTATATATAGGCAGTGGACCTTATTTGGTTGAATATTTGAGGGTGTATTAGATATAAGTATGGAATATTTTGTATGGGTATAATTTTGGTGATTTTTGTTTCAGTGATGTTGTAGCAATCTATGTTTCTGAATAATTTCTGGGTGAAAGTAATTTAATGATATTATGTACTACTATTGGATTAAATGTTGAGTTTTTTTATTTTAGAGAATACCCATGTAATTTAATTGAAGATCAGTTGAGGTTAGGATTCATTTGATTATTTTACATAATTACATTAAAAATTATTAGTAAAATTGTTAAATTTTTAAAAATTATTATCATTATTGAGGCATTTGATCAACGTACAAGCTACAAAATGGCGCTACAGCTGATTTCAATAGGTGGACGTTTTTTTATGCATGATCGTCAATCTATAGTTATATATATCATTGTTTTATATCCAACTTGATGAATTATTATTTCTAATTATATTTGACTGACTGATGATGATAACAATTTTGAGAATTGATAATAATAACGACTGAGTTACAAGCAAGCTACATGACAAATTCACGATTTATAAAGACAACTTTAGATAAGGATAACAAGCTTACGATTTAAACAAACTAACGTGCAAACTCAATTTAAACAAACCAACAAACACAGTAAACGATTTGGACAAGCCAACGATTAAGATGTGACTTATGCAACATTGGCAACCAAAACGATAAACCATTTGGACGACAAGCTCTCTATGACTGCTTAGATGAAATTATGGGAAGGCTTTTTTAGAAGAGGGAGAATGTTATATTATAGGAATTAATAAATTAAAACATTATATATTTGGTTATTGAATAGTATTATGTTTTAATCTATGTAACGCGCATTCATTTAATTCTGTTTATTCTGAGGATCAAATCAAATTATTTGAATCTCCCATAAACTCCTCCTTGGCACAGGTTATTTTTACTTTTGTTTTATCTTCCTTTATTTTACTTTCGCTGCCTTTTCTCTCTTCTCATTCTGTATTGAACTTTTTTCCTTTTCATCTATTATTTGCTATCAAATTTCCCATCTTATGCCTTATGACCGTGTGATTAAAGTTAGGTCCCCTTTTGCC